TAAAAGCCCTGTTTATTGACAGTGCAGCTTAATCAATATTTAAAGATCTTCCATATGAAAGAACTGCAATGCAAGCTTCCCTGCACTCTTGAGGCTCTAAATATTTGAAAGAGGGCCTTAAAGGACAGTCATTTCCCTTAAAAATTTGGAGGAGTCTCCCCATCAGGCAGAAATAAGTGCCTACTCACCATCTTATTCCATGATCCCCTCCTTTCAATTATTTAAGAGCGAGGCCAGCTATCTTCATGCAGGCTGGTTTAAAACATGGAGAGTAGAAGTAATGAAATCATTCTGCTCCTCTGCCCTCATTTGCTGAAGTCATTTCACATTTGCTAAGATGATGCTTTCCTCTCTGTCTTTTTCCCATGAAGGTGAGATCCCCTTAATCCCTATCATCATGTTCCCCCTGGGACAGGGCATCCAGCTCCTAGGAGCGGGGGGAGCATTTTTCATCTGATTTACAACATGCAGAGGGCACTAACCTGCACTGTAGTGTCCTCCCTACACTGTGAGTGTAACTGCTGAGCAACCTGAGAAGGACTCCTGTAAAAGAAGAGTCCTGCCATGAATATCACATCCTCTTTCTGATCCATGTTAGAGCAGGGTCATTTTCAACCTGGAGGGATGTGGGCAGTGGGATCCCCCAGGGCTCGGTCCTCAGGCCTGCACTGTTCAACATCTTCATCAGCAACTTGGACAAGGGGGTGAAAAGCACCTTGTTCAAATTCGCATATGACACTAAGATGTGGGGAGAAGTGGGCATGCTAGAAGGGAGGGACAGGTTGCAATTGGATCTGAACAGGTTACAGGGGTGGGCAGATGAGAATAAGATGGGATTCAATACTGACAAGTGCAAGGTAGTGCACCTAGGGAAAAAGAACCAGCAGCATACCTACAGGCTGAGGAACTCCCTTCTCATCATCACAGAGGCAGAAAAGTATCTTGGAGTCATTACAGACTCCAAGATGAACATGGGCCGCCAATGTGGGGACGCAGTCAGGAAGGCTAACTGCACCTTGTCATGCATCCACAGATGCATCACGAGCAGGTCCAAGGAGGTGATCCTCCCCCTCTATATGACACTGGTCAGGCCGCAGTTGGAGTACTGCATCCAGTTCTGGGCGCTGCACTTCAGGAGGGATGTGGACAGCATCGAGAGGGTCCAGAGGAGGGCCACTCGCATGATCAGGGGGCAGCAAGGCAGGCCCTACGAGGAGAGGCTACAAGACCTGAACCTGTTCAGTGTCAAGAGAATGCTGAGAGGGGATCTGCTGGCCATCTATAAATTTGCCAAGGGGGACCAGCAGGTAATTGGAGAGTCCCTGTTCCCCCGAGCACTACTGGGAGTAACAAGGAATAACGGCCATAAGTTGACGGAGAGTAGATTCAGGCTAGATATCAGGAAGCACTACTTCACAGTCAGGGCGGCTAGGATCTGGAACCAACTTCCAAGGGAAGTGGTGCTTGCTTCTACCATGGGAGTCTTCAAAAGGAGGCTAGATAGACACCTTGCCGGGGTCGTTTGACCCCAGCATTCTTTCTTGCCCATGGCAGGAGGTCGGACTTGATGATCTGCTCAGGTCCCTTCTGACTGTACCAACTATGAAACTATGGTGAAGTGGCAATGTTAAGGTGGGGAGGGACGTTCAAAGGGGTTGAAACCACACCAGCTAAAGCCCTGGCCATTAGAAATGGAAAAGCAAAGCGTGTTCCACCTCCTCTGATACAGTACGTTCTCTAGACTTGACAGATACTTCAGGCCTCTCAGAAAAGCAAGCAACAAGACAGCCACATAGGAGACTCTGAGTTTAAAGGGAGTCAAAAAGAGTTGTCTGATGGTTAGTGCACTGGCCTGGGACTCCAGAGGTTCCTTGTCCCACCAGAGACTTTCTAGGCAGGTCAGTAAGCTGCTGCTTAGTGACCACCCTTACATGGAGGCTGCAGATGGTCAGAAGCTGCAGTGCTGGAGCTCTATGCTTACTTCAAAAAGGCAATCTCTCTATCTGCCGTTCCCCACTGGCTCAGCTCATCATCTGAGTGAATCTGTCTTGCACCAGGGGGTTTGTAGCACTCGTCCCTGACTTCATGCCCTTTCACACAACTAAAACAGAGAGCATCTCCAAAAAGTAAGTGCACCCCTGTGGCTTCAGGAGAGGTGTTAGCCCTCCCGCCCCCATCCCGCACGCCCAAAGGAAACAAACTGTTAAATGCATGGGACAGTCTGACCTGCCAGCAAGGCTGTGTACCCAAGAGAGGTTGTGTGAGCAAGAGAGGGGCATTTGGGTAATAATAGATGTGAGGTAATCAAGAGATCATGAGTAGAACAACCAGGCTCAACTGAGAAAAATGCCACAGCCTGAGGCTGATCAAAAAAGAGTCAGGAGAAGAGGTGCTGTGAGGAGCACAGAGGCTTGCTTTTCCTCCCCCTCCTTTGTCATGACATTTCTTTGCACATCCATTGCAGGGGGCCAGGAGCCCTCTGAAGAGCTGCAGCCTGTTTTTAGGCAAGTGAGCAATTCTGGTGCCTGTGTTCCTGATACCCTGGGGAAGCAGAGCAGCTTGCCAGTGGTAGGAGGGCAGGGGCTGGGCTGCCGATCCCCTCATGTGGAACATGGTTCTCTTCAAAAATATTTTTTAATGGAAAAAAATTAATGAATATGGAAAGGAGGGAGGGTTTGGTGTTTAACACCCCACCCCCAGTGGAGTATGCCCAGGGATCTGTTGGAGAAGGATGGTGACAGCTCTCCAGGATATATGCTGCAACAGATTTGGTCTTGAAGCAAAACCCTGCTGTTCAGGTGTGAAGAAAACCCTTGGATTCCTAGCTCTGTCATGATTCAAGGCAAGCTTGCTTGGCCATTACTGCAGTGCTGCCTTCCTGAGGGCTTGGGCATCTCAGTTACAGCATGGTCATTGCACCCATGCAGCTATCTTATTGAACTAAATTTGCTCAAAGAGCAAAACTCCCTCTGTCCAGAAAGCCCTGGCAAAAGTACTTTGAACCTTGTAACCCCCATATCCACCCTAGACCTCCCTGCAAACAAAGCAGAGTCTAACAGCAGTGTCCACTTTGAATTTCCTCACTGCTGGAGGCCAGATTTTCACAGACAGTCCTGTTCAGATTCCCAGAGACTTGCATGTCTCAAACTCCAGCCCTCTGTGTTTTCACAGAGGAGTCTCTCTCTGCCTCTCATAGGCCATACACGTTCCCCCTGGAGGCAGCCTCTAGAGCCTCCAAGGGGAAATAAACACTCTTCCAGTGACTGCAAGGTTTGGAGACTGGTGAACTCCATGGTGGGACTGATCAACTGTCTCTTTGGTATTGTATTGACCTGGTTTATCACCCATGCCGCCAGGAACAGGGCAGGATGGCAGTTCTGCTGTTTGAATTTGTTGCTGTAATTTGTTTCCTGGTAGCTTTAGCATCTCAGTTCAAATGTGTTACAGAGCATGCAGAGACTTCTCTGCCTTTCTTTGCCCTTTAACTGTAGGCAACTGCTGGGTTCTTTGGGGTTTTTTGTGGGGTGGGAATGGAGTGGGAGAGGGGGAGGTGTGGCTAGGCCAGAAGTACAGGTTTGAGTCTCCTTTTTTAAAAAGCCTTTTGCAATGCTGACTGCACATGCACAGTGTTTCTTCCAAGGCAGCATGTTCTAAAGAAACCTGGCCTGCTGACAACTCCTGTGTGCATGAACTACATCTGGAAAGGACGTTCATTTGCTCTTAAAGCAGGGAAAACTGGTCTTATGTACTCATTTGACTGATATAAGAAGAGAATTTCTTCCAGCTGCTAGGACCTGTGACACTGCGCTGCAGTTACCCTTGCGTCAGCACAAAGAATTCTTCCTTCTTGCCTTCCCGCTCTGCTCATTTGGTGATTTATGCCATGGCTCCAGTGAGGTCTCTTCAGCTCTTCATTTTCCTGGGTATCATTGGTGACACATAGACACTGAGATCTGCCATGCACCCCTTGGAACTGCCAGCTGCAAAACCGGAAGTGTACTTCCAGTTCCTCTGCTGGCTTGGCAATCAGCTGCTGGGGGACCTCCTCCAATTCCCCCCAGTTGGCTGTCGATTGCTGCAGGACCCTCTTCCCCTCCCCCGGTCGGCGATCTGGTGCCCCCCCAAACTTGGGAGGCACCAGTCGCCCATGGTGGGTATCTGTTCACTGCCTAGCCCAGGAGACCCGATCCTAGTTAAAACTCAGGCCTCAGGTCACAGCCTTCAAGGGGCTTCAGAGCTAACGTTGATTTAAAAACTCAACTATAGAGGAAGAAAGTTACTGATGTGGCCAGGATTGGTCCCAGCGGTCTGATTAGTTTCTACTAGTGCCTCCCCCTGCAGATAGTAGCATGGCTCAGTTGGCTGTGTCCTCGCCTCGGCTGCGCCACAACACGAGCTCCTGCCTGGGGCTGACACCACAGTGCCAAGCCAGAAATGCAGCACAAATTAGTCTCAACAAGATGAGCAAGATCACGCATTCCCCTTAAAATAGAAACATCTGTGGAGCCAGTCCTGAGGTATCTGCCAGGGCCCAGCACCCTGCCAGGGCCCAAGGGAAAGCAGGGAGGAGCCAGGAGGACACACTGGCTCTATGCATCAGTAAAGAGGGGCTGCCTCCAGGCTACGGGCTAGAAATAGACAGTTCTCCCAAAGGAACAAAGATTCCTCCATGCTCCCTCATACCTCTTGCGTGTCAGTGAAAGGCCTGGAGATTTGACCCCAGCCATGTTCTAGCCAGTGGCCAGTCACAAGCAGCAAAGCTCTGTCTCTTGTGCATCTAAACAGCAGCTTTATAGCTGTGTAAATGCCACACAGTGCAGGTGGCAATTCTACTTTCCCTGAAACATGGATGCATGCCTGCATCTAAGTTACAAGAATGTAGGCAGGCAGAAACCCACGACTAGCAGGAGTTGGATAAAGAAGGGGCGGGGTTCCTATGTTTTATCACCACTAGCTTAGTAGTTTGGACAAAGCTGGGTTTTAGGCCCTTCTTACCTAGAGAGGGTTTGAGTTTGCATTTTGTTTTCTCAACACAGTACTCTAACCACCACATTCCAGGTCAGGCATTATCCATCACTTCTTTTGAAGCTGGCCCCTTATACAGCTGAGAGAGGGAGATATGTGGGGCTAAGAAAAAGCAAACAAACCAGAGGGTATAAGACTCGAGGAGATCACTGCTGCCTTAGGAGGAAGTCCTGTGTTTTAGCCTGGTGCTGTGTTTTTGATAAGGTAAAACTTTCCTCCTTCTATTTTATCCAATGCCTGTTAAAAGCAGGGCAGTGGCTCAACCTCAGGAGTCTTGAGCATTCCTTCTCTTAGCACTCTTAACAACATTTTAACATGTCAGGAGTTGAATTTCACTTCATTGCTCGAAAGGCAGCTGATTCTCATTGCTGAAGTGGTTCTGACCTAATTTCAATCACAGTCTTATGAAATCATTGTCTATGTGTGTGTGTCTTTCTCTCTCATTACAGGGCTGAAGTTGTGCTAGGAAATATAATTAAGAAGAAAGGATGGAGGTAATTCTTTTTTGGTCAAGTGCCTCATTTTTTTGCAGTGGGAAATGTCTTTGCTCACCAAAGCAGGCTGGATACGCAAACAGAAGTTGGAGGTGTGCAGCAAGGTGAAGAGGGTAGCCTTGCTCTGGGAATTGCAGGAATGGATGCATTGGTGCACATCATGTGGGCCTTGGAGACAGAGGTTCCCTCCCTAGTCCTTAGCAGTGATCCCTCTGGGGCACCATCACATATTCCTGCAGTGCTGCTATCTGCACTGGCCAATGACTCAGGACACTGAGGCTGTTTTGTCATAAAATAAAAACCCTGCTTCTCACTGCTGAGGAGGTAGCTATGATGTCCCAGATCTATGCAAATTCAAGCAAGACACTTGGTCTCACGGCTTTTCCAAGGAAGGGACTCTTCCTTTTTCTTATGGAGACAGACAGAACTCGCAGGGCAGAATCCGGGCTGTTCAGTCCATCCCAGCCTGGCATCTCCTTATGCTCCTGGCTGGGTTGAGGTGGAGCAGAGCCTCTTCAGGGAGGCGCTGGAAATCACAGCAAACTCAGCCACAGGGAAGCACAATATCAAACAGGAAAACCACTGCGGTGATGCACAAACCGCTGTCTGTAGTTAGATCAGCAGACGTTAAATGTTCTCACCCCTCCAGATTGCAGTGGTTCAAAACCCCACCAGGGTTCAGTATATATATATTTCCCATTCAATTATTTATGCTCATCATCTTGTTCCACCAAGATGGTTCTTTTGCATTTATTAAAGGCTCGTCTTAAATCAACTACAGCTGTCAGCAATGAAAAGCAACTGACTTATTAGGAAACACTACCATGTCTCCTGTGACCTCTCAGAGACAAGCTCTGTCACCCCACATATCTGTCACTTTCCATTAAACAGCCCTTTTAGGCTGAGGTAGTCATCGGGACTTTGGGGATTGTCTCTAGGCCTTAGGAGTGGATGTCCTTAGTACTCTAGTACTCACCTGAGTGGTTGAGACAAGCTGTAGCTTACAGAGAGTTGTTCTGGGGCTGCTGCAGGTTTCAGGGCTGCTGCAGGCTTCTGGTCTGCCAACCTGGCATTTGCTAAATGTCTGACCCTGGTCTTGCTTGTTCTGGGTTGAATTAGGAGTTACTCAGTAGTGAAATCAAGAGGGATGTCCTGGCTGTTCTCTTTTTCTGCAAGTGGGGAATTGGAAATGCTTACCTGACAGCTCCCTGTTTCTCTTTGCAGGCGGTCCAGCCTGGTCATAACCACCAAGATCTTCTGGGGAGGAAAGTATGTAAGGTTGGCTATTACTAGTAGCAGTGTGTGTTCTGGTAGTGTTCTGTGTTCTAAACATGGCTCTCCTGTGTTTCAGAGCAGAGACAGAGAGGGGGCTGTCCCGAAAACACATCATAGAAGGTAAGAGAGCTGCTTGCAGATGGCCCTGAGCTGGGAAGGCACTTGAGCTCATGGGCTTCCCTGCTTTGGGGTCATAGCTACTCATTAGTGCTAAGGTCAGAATATCGATGATGGGGCAGCTTGTAGTGCAAGACTGAAAATGGTCAGTCTAGGTAGAGGAGTGCAGGGCAGAGCAGGAAGATACCCAGAGGCCCCCATGCAGCTGCAGGGGAGAGGGCTCCAGGGACATTCCTGCTGGGTGAGTCAAGAGCAGGTGCAGAGCCATTGCTTAGCAAACACAACGTTCACTTGCGCTGCAGTTGAGCCTTTCCCTGTGGCTAATTCCCTGACTGCTTTTGCTGTGTCCTGCCATTCCCTGGCCTCAGCTGCTGCTATGTCAGGGGCAAGCAAAGTCCCGCCTGGGGGCCGGATTGGCTCACAGCGGACTCTGTTTCCCAGCAGCCCCTGCCCACATTGCTCTGGCCAGTTTCCATGGAGACCCCAGGAGGGGCAGGGCCGCTACAGTGCAGGGCCATGACGGCCCCACCTCCCAGGGTCTCTATGGAGACCAACCTGAACGGGGCTGGTTGAGGAGACCCCATACTGTCATGGCCCTGCTGCTTCTGGCCTGAGCAGCCTGAGCAACACAGACCAGCCTGAGCAACACGGGCAGAAGCTGCTGGGAAATGGAGTCTGGCCACTGGCCAGCTCCGCCAATTTGCCCACCCCTGTGCTACGTGCTTTCCCTCTCCAGGAAGGGGCCCAGTGCACTCCCGCTCAGGTGACACTTGAGGGAGACTGCAGGGGTTATCCTGGCTGACCTGAGCTATGTTCTCTTGCAGATACCAACCACAAAATGAAACGGTCTGGGCAGGGAAGGGAAGGGCACTATCTGGGTGTGTTCGTAATCTTGTGTAGTCCAAACAGGCTGGGCCTGGTGCTGGCAGCCGCTTGCATTGCTCATGATGCAGGGGCAGTGACTCCCTCCTCTCCGCCTTCTGACTCTGTTTCCCCTTTCCTTTCCTCTTAGTTCTCAGCCAAGAGCACAAGTGTAGGGCTGCTCTTTCTGCAAGAGGAGCAGGGGGTGAAGGCTAGCCACAAAGCCAAAAGCACATTACAGTCCCCTGGTCTAAAGTGCTCTTATACCTGTGGGATCATCTCAGAAGGAAGTGCCAGCCCCGAACCCAAGGGCCGTGTCCTTGGACTATCACTTCCCTTCCGACCCCAGGGGATGGCTGAACGAACCTCTGATTGCGTCTTCCAAGTGCTTTGCAATCCTGGATGGGGGCACGGGAAAGGCCGGGTACCCAGCAGGGCAATATGCTTGACATGTCTTGCATCCATGTCTTCCTTCCCAGGTCTGAAGGCTTCATTAGAGCGGCTGCAGTTGGAGTATGTGGATGTGGTGTTTGCAAACAGACCGGATCCCAACACCCCAATGGAAGGTAGGTCCTGACACCAGCTCTTACTGGTGGTCTTGAAAGCCAGGTCCTGGGCAGCAGGCAGCAGAGAGCCTGCTGTGCTAGCCACAGCGTCCACCCCTGTGCTGTTTTGGGTGCCGGTGAGTGGGAGCAGACAGGTCTGGGGGTCCAAAATTGGGCCTAGCTTTATTTTTCAGAATTGTCCTCCCCTTTACCCCCTCCACCCCATGTGTAATAGGGAATTGCCTGCCAGCAGGATCCTTAGAGTATATTCCCCTTTCTCTGTGCCATGGGGAAACACTCCTGCTTAGACTTCCCAGGCCTGACTGTGCTGCTCTCCTGGACCTCTTGGGGCCTGTCCCCTGATGCTGGGACTCTGGGCAAGGTGTACATCTCTCCTCTGTCTGAGAGCCTTTTCTCAAGCTGCTGTGCCAGCACCTCCTGCCTCCTGGATGTAAGCTGGCCTTGTGCATCCAGGCTTTTTTTTTTTTCCCCTATTTTATGAAAAGATTTTGACTGGCTCATTGTGTGCAGGGAGAGTTCATGCCTTGTTTGTTAGCATCTTAATCATAAAACCAGTGGAGAACCTTATTTTTTTGCATTTTACCTTTGTCATTTGTGTTCTTTCATTCTGATTCCTTGTGATGGGTTTCACATATGCTGTGTTTTTCCTTTTCACGCAGCAATTGTTTCATATGTTGATATGTTCAGTGTCAGTCAAATGTTTTTTTTAAAAAGCTCTTGCCGTGTAACTCCCCTCCATCGCCCAGCCTGAGGAGCCTTCTCAGGATGTGCTCCACTCCAGGAACAGATTTGTATGGGTGGTTTATTCCTCCTCCGGCCCCGTGCCCTTTTGTCATGCCTTCATTGTAATGTGCCAGCAGCTGTAAACTCTGGTCTCTTTAAATCTTTCTTTTATCACCAGGGGACCCATTTAGTTCTTCCAAGTCAAGAACATTCATCATAGAAGGTACATCGTACCCGCAGTCCGAATATTGACTTCTGTGTCCAAGCAGCATTTTATGGGATGGCCTCTGTATTTTTATTTAAACTATCTCCTTTCCCCTGATGACAAACTTCACCATAAAATGCACAAAGGGAAAAAAAATAATAACCACTGCCCTTGGGAACATCTTGCAAGTAAAAAGAAAAAAGCAAAATAGTTGTTAGCTCTTTCCCCCCCCCTTCCCTCCAGCCATTGTCATCCCATTCTTTGGTTCCTTTCCTCAGTCAATGCATGACACACCATTTTCAAATATGCCTGCCTGTATCACAGGAGATCAAGCCTGTTTGAAATTCTGCCTTAAACCCAGCATATTGGTTCGTGCAGTAACGTGGTACTGATCCCTGACACCCTCGTGATGCTGGAGGAGAACAGTTGGGGGATAAGGGTGACCAAATCAGCCAGACAAGGGAAGAAGAGCAGTGGTGGTGTTGGCACTGGAAGTGTTCAGGTCTATATGCCTATCTAGCCTGAAATACAGGGGGCAGGATCAGTGCTGTTCATTTGGCCCATGCACTTGGCTTAGAAGCAAATTGGCTCCCCAAGCTGTCACTTTATTGGCTCCCTGGACTCTGATTTCTTCTCCCCTCGTCATGCTGCCTGGCCTTGCACAAAAAACATGTACTAGGGTTGGGCAAAATTCTGTGTGTCGATACTCCACGCAATGGCAAATTTTGAGTGACCAAATCTAAATGAAGAGCAACAGCATCGGGGTCCATTCCAAGTCAGCTTCCCCATAATGAAGTTGAGGCAGCTGCTACTCCTGGGTGCACCCTTTGGTGAGCTGCAGAAACAGGCGCAGCTGGCTCAGAGCTGACTGGTTTGCATGCATGTGTGAAATGAACTTTTTTGCAGTCCCAGCTTTGAAAAGGTACAGGAGTGGGTCAGGCACTGCCGGAATGCTGACTCCTCTTAATGACTGAGCCAGATGCCTGCTTGCAGTTGACTTGCAGCACATTCCAATGTGGTTATTCAGGCATTATTTTGCCAGGATCCAGATGCTGTAAGTCTCCTGCCTCCACGCAGATGGAATCCTTCCTTAAATTAAAGGGGCAAGTGGAGTGCAGCTAATGAATATGACGTGGGCAGTCTGCTACAGAGCGGAGTAGAGTTCTTTTCCCTATGGACCAAACATTTTGCCCAGCTCTGGCAGCTGCTCCTTTCTCTGCTCGTGATGGATTATTCCTTTCCTGTGTAATGTTTGGTGACCTTGTGCAAGAGCTGCTACCTACCTCCCCAGTTTTATTTTCGTAGGAGCCTTTTGTTCACACAAGTCCCACGCTCGGCTTAACTGTCGCACTATATCAGTGCATGCAATGGACACGTTAAGCCTGGTATGACTTGTTTCCTTTCTGCTTCTCTTTGGCATGAGTTGATGCCTTGGCTTGTGTCTCAGCCTGCATGGTTCAGACTTGGCTGAAGGTCTTGATCAATAGTCCCCAACAGTGTTTCTAAAAATTAAAATGAATGGCAAACAGAGGTACATGCTAGCAGTTGGTTTCACATCCTGAAGTCACATGGGGCATTCTTATGTTAACTAGCCAGTGGAGGCTCCCAAACCCTTTTCAGTTGTTGCATGTACTTTATCAAAGGGTAACATGACTAGTGCAGTTACTCTAAAAGTGGCACCATAGACGTGCATTACAAATGAAAGATGAAGGCTCTGCCCCCAAAGAGCTCATAGCCTAAGTTCAGACAGTACCAGACAAGAGCCAGAGAGGAGGGCTATGGAGAAGGGAGGGCAGCAGGAAAAGGCCCACAAGTGGCCTGCTCCATGTGATCCTCTGAAGCCTCCTGGTTTTGTATGTGCACATTGATCACATTTTTCTTCTTCCAGCTGTGGCAGAAAGAGTACTCTGGCTAGGAACTGGAGAAGCAGCTGTAGAGACAGGGTGAACTCCATAGCCCCCTCAGAATGGATGATGCACTTTCCATTGACTTTTGTGGGGTCAGGATTTCATCCCCAGTGCCCTGGGTTGGGAGGATCCTCTTGCCATGCCTCAAACGGGTTTTCCTTGAAAAGAGACTAGGAGTGCCTTGCCTCTGACCTGACTTCTTGGCACACCACACTATATATCAGTTGAGACTTCACTTGTTCTCTCCTGCTGCCCTGTGCTCAGTTTCCTAAAATACTCTGCTGGGAGCTGAAATGCTCCCAGCCTGGTCTGAACCTATAGAGATTTCCAAAGAAGTTCTTCCAGCTCTTAAGAGAGGGGGACCTGTATTTTCTCGGTTCTCAACATCTAAGGCTGCAGGCCCAGGAGCAGCTCTGCAAGTTGCTACACGTCACAGAGCTGGCTCTGGGGTGGGGCTTTTTTCTGCACATACTAGACTGACAGATGTTACCCATGATTAACTGGTCCTTTAAGTAATGACCTGGCCAGACATTCATTCAGTGTGATAAAACACGGAATAAGCCACAAAGTTATTGCACAAAATACATGTAATAGCCAGGGATCTGGGTTTTCCATTCACTGCAAAAAAACACAGATTTTTCTCCTTTTAAGGAAAAAACCATGGGAAAACAAGTTTCCCCTTGCAAGCTAGCAGCCTTCCAGCTTGCAAGGGACTGCTTGGGCCTGTGGAGGGAGGGCAACTAGAGGCAGGGGGCACCACATTCATGTGCATGTGCACACACACGTGGGTGGCATACAGCTAGGGAGGGTGGTGGGAGGAGTCCTGGCAGCTGGATACAGGTAAGTCTGTGGGGAGAGGGGTTGGAGGACCAGGGCTTGGGGACTGTAGCAGGGTGGGGGGATATTTGTATGTGTGTATGTGGAAGGCGTGTGTGGAGGGAGGGCGAGGGCGAGTGCATGCCAGCACTGGGGGAAGATGTCCAGGTGCTGGGGCTGTGGCAGGGCCAGGAGGGTCTGAGGCAGTATTCTATGCCACCAGCAAGCCCAGCTCCATGCCATTGCCTTTGGGGCCATCCAGAGGCACCTGCTCCTCTTGCAAGGGAAGGGGTGGGAGAGCCCTTTGCTGGGTAGCGGGGAACTGTGTGGCCAGGCCAGTGGCACCAGGAGCCAGCGCCTGTGTTCTCAGCAGTAGGGGCAAGGTGGCCAGGAGACCCTGCCTGAGCCAGGGGAAAGAGCAGGGCCCAAGACTGGGGCGGGAGATGCCACAGACGCCCCCCACCCCCTCCTTCTTCCAGCCCACACTGGGGCTGGACTTGCTCCACCCGCAGATGCCACACTCCAGTCCAGGCAGGACAGAAAGTTCCAGGAGCCCCTTGTCTTCCTCCTGCTGCCCGCAGCATGGCCCAGGCCAGAGCCACGTTCAGCTTGGCACTGCTTCTGTGGAACACAGCACTGGTTCTCCCCGCTACACCACAACCCTAGCCCCAGCCAGCAGTGCAGGGCAGCGTGTGGGGCCCCAGCCACTCCCTGTGCTTCCACATTCAGGTGCACTGTGTGCACCTCATTCTTGAGGCCATCTCTGCTGTGTCCCCACAGACCACCATCCTGTAGTCCACGGAGGGGCAGCTAGGGACGGGGCACCAGCAGGGCTTGGGGGTGCAGGGGACTGTGGGTCGGCAATGAGGGGCACCAGCAGGGCCAGGGGCCTGTGAGTTGGTAGTGAGGGGCACTAGCAAGGATGCAGTGGTAGGGGACTGGGCAAGGGCAGGTCACCAGCATTTCAGGGCAGCTCAGCATCACAAAGCAGCAAGAGGGGCAGCCACAGCTGGACCTGCATCCTGATGAGTGAAGGGGGCAGAGGGGACTTTGATTTTCCATGATAAGAAAAACAAAATAAAATGCCAAAATATATAGGTATTTAGAATTTATTTTATTATAATGATCAAGACACTGGTAAGCTTCCAAATTGCTTAAAAATTGTAAATATAGCAATAAAACAATGTTTTCAACTGATACCTATATATATAGTGGCATTTCATTTTAATTGTAGAAAAATGCAGATTTGGGGGCTTTTAATCAGAGAATTTAGGATTATTTTTTTTTTAATCAGAGAATTTGGAATTTTTAAACAGAAAATCAGAATCCCTGTTAATAACATTGTGGCTGGTTCCCAGTGTGCCTTAAATTTAATGTATAGCCAGCCACACACAGCCTTGGGAGCACACCAGAGCCATTCAAGACTCCTGGGCGCTCCCAATTCTGTGAGTGCTAGTTAGCTGATCAGTGCTCCAAGCCAGGGAGCCAACACTTGGATCACTTGGTGCCCAAATGCTCCTGCAGCTGAGAGCCCCAGTCAGCTGATTGGCTCCCACCTGTGGGAGTGTAGGGGAGCCTTGGGATCATGAACCTGGGCTCCCTCTACACCGGCAATGTGGCATGATTGATCCCCAATCCCACAACTGTGCTTCCTGCCATGCACATGCAGCATGACAGGAGGTGCCATTGTTGGGATTGTGCATCAAATTCCATCACGCCTTTAACCAAACATCTGTCAGCGGCCCTAGAATAGCTGCTGCAGAGCACTCCTGTGAGGCAGTTCCAAGAACTGCTGGCATAAGTTAGCAGAGCACTGCTGAACAACCACCACTCTCCTGATAACATCAGGAGAAGAGTGGTGCCCTGAAATTGCAGGCTGCCTCCTGCACTACAGGAGGAAGAAGTTGGGCTGGGCAGAGCCTTTTCTACTCTAGGAAAGTTCTCTCAGCATTAGCTATGGGAACACCTGCACGAGTGCTACACACTGCACGGGGTCAGGGGTACTCAAGGGCTAAGCATATTAACACAGCTTGGAAGGGTGACTCTTGAGCCCCTGATGTCCAGCTGGATGCCCGAGCTCTCCTATCCCTGTAAGTTGACTATTCCCCAGGATGTGCAGTTGCGGACACTCCCCTCCACTGCAGAGCAAGCCATGGCTGTCTCAACTTCTGCCCCCGAATTTGTAGCCATTCGTAAGATTTGAGCTAATGCTAATTGGGGAGCCTCAAGCTTTGCATTCCCATTCTTCAGCACGTACCTGGGGTGTTGTGTTCACACAGGCATCCATTCACAAAGTAGCATTGTTTTTTTCTTGCTTTGAGGGAGGCAAGAGGTGAGGATGGTCTGCCTGCACACCTGGCTGTGGTCAGATGCATTTTATGCATGCACACATCCCACTTAGTTATATTAGATTTGTTTTCCAGGCAGTCGTTGATGGATTGCTTTTTTAGAAACACTTGTTCACAAGCTTTTGTTTCTATTGCACCATTTGCAATCAACCTTGCAAGCAATGTATTTTTATAGCTGCCTTTCCTTGACATCCCTGCTGGATCCACTACAAACCATCAGCACCTTCAGGAAGTGCTGTGTGAAAATCCCTGTCTAGTAGTCACAAGTGAAAACCCAAGTGTTCAGTTGCTTTAAGTTGCAACACGAACTCTGGGACCAAACTAGCATGCTGGGTTCCTACAATCTGTATTTGTTTTGTTCAAGGCTTTTGTAAAAAAAATTGTTCCTTAGTTTTGTTTTTTTTTTGTAGGCAATGGGTTTTTTTAATTACTTTCCTAATTAGTATTAATGTTTGAAATCTCCAGGAGGTATGAGTCGCAGGCAGAGCTGGAGAGGAGGTTGATTTTAACCACTGTAATTTCCTCCATTGCCAGCTCTCCTGTGACTTCTGGTCCTGGCTCTCTGAGTTCTGCTTCTAGCTGCCCCAGGGAAGAGTTGGAGCTCTCCTCTTCCTACCCAGGCAGTTCTGATCAGCTTTTCCATCAGTATATTTTTGAGCTGGGTTCATAAATCTCTGCAGCAGAGCAATGCTGAAGGTTCTGCCTTAAAGCAAAACTGGAAGGTATCAAAAATGACCCCAATACTCTGCCATTTACAGACCCCTCTTCCACTCACGGACACACTCACAAGCCACAAGCCTCACCCTGGTCCCCAAAAAACCTGGTTTCCTGGAAACATCCCCCTTGTTTTGTTGAGTCTCCCCTCCTGTTAGCACTCCATCACCAAGATGCAGCTGCCCTGGTTTTCCATTGAGAAGAAGTGGAAAATCTGGTTGTAGCTCTGCTTTTCATGGGATCTGGAGGGAAGCGTTTTTCACTCTGCACATGGGTGCTGTAAATCAGGTGGCCCTTCTCCATCCTCACAGGAGATTGTAAATGTCTGTGAATGTGGGTGGTGTCTGATGTGCTGCATTTCATTGTTTGAGTGTGACCTCCCTACATTTCTCTGGTCCATTACAAATGGTTATTCTTTTCTATGCCATTCCTATTCTTTTTCAGAAAAAACCCTAACAAAGTACAACCCAATACTCTTGTCCTCATAACTTACATCACTTCAGTTTTCTCTTCCCTCTCATTTCAGCTCCAACACACCACCTTCCACCTTAACTCCTGGGTTTTCTTTTCTTCTTTTTTTTTTCTTTTCTTTTGGAGCCTATGGGAAATAGTCATCAATCTGGGGGAGTCATTCTGAGAGCAGTCTGTCTGGTGGGTTGTTTTAGTTTCAATTCCCTTGTAAATGGCCTGCCACCGTGTTTGCAGTCTGGAAGTACACTGCTTGCAAGATGTCTGTGCAGTACCAACCCCCTTCCCTCTTGGTGTCATAGCCTTTATTGACTGCACCACTCCCCACTTTGCTTGCGTCTCTCACATTTCTGCCTCTGGACCTCCCCCCTTGCTTTTTAACAGAGACAGTGAGAGCCATGACCCACGTTATCAACCAGGGGATGGCCATGTACTGGGGAACATCGCGCTGGAGCTCTATGGAAATCATGGTACTGTGTCTGTCTGTGTCTGTGTGCTGGCAGGGAAGCTCTGGAGAAAGCAGCATAGACCAGTCCTCTGTGTGTAGCTGCAGCTTGTTGCTGGCACTGAGTGGAGGCCATGCAGGCTGCAGCTGCTAGCACAGGCTGGCTCTATTGCATTATGTTCCGAGCGAAGCACTGAGCTGACAATGATTTGGTCCGACAGGAGCTGTTGGGAGCCAAATGCTTGCAGATGTGTTCTAGCCTTAATTATGTTTAGATGTGATAGGAGGGCTCATTGGTGCATGTCACATTTGTGCTGCAGGAGGAAAGGGTTCCCTAACTGGTCAAGGAAGTAAATTCACAGGCAGGGCATGGGGCCAACACAGCAGTGGCCTTTCTAGTGCAGCTGTCAGGGTGAGTGACAGGCAGCATCCTGCAGTCACTGCATGTGGCACAAGCCCCTTGACAGTTGCCCAGGGCTACCCTCTAACTCCCTACTCCCTCTGTCCAGAGCCCTCCCCTCTCCACACTGGCAGGAGCTGCATCAGTAAGACGCTTCTCCCTTGAGCACTTCCATACTCTTGTGCTGTCTGCTGGCTCCATCTGCTCAGCCACTCGGGTGAATGAACAGGATTTCCAGCTAGATTTGTGCATTGGAGACTCAACACTTTCCAGGGCACTCATCTTCAGTCATTACTGTCCCCTTCCAACTGGTATCTGCAAACACACTCAGCTTAGCACAGGGTCAATATGTTGCCTCAGTGTCTCAGGAGGCATTGGGCAAGTCTGGACCTCTGCTAGCCCAAACTAACAATCATGAGTTCAGTGGATTTGGTGCTGTCAAACCCAGCCTGGGTATATGTCAGCAGAGCCCCAGCAGAGATCTGCAGGCTGGGCCTAGGTGCCCCCAGTGAAAAACACTGAACCTTATCTTGCACCCTGGGAAGTACATGGCCATGCTCCCACTGGCGTCAGCCAGTGGCAAAGCTTCCCATGAGACTGAGCCATATGGTTCAACCTTGCTCAGCACGTTGCATTGCTGTAGCAATGATTAGAGGTTGTTTCTGCTGTGAAGAGTGGGCTCTTCCTCTGCTGAGCTTGAACTCTGCCCCTAGAGAGATGGGTCCATAGAGGGCCTGAGCCAAAGGCAGGGCAACCGAGGGGGGTTCCATTCTGATGAAAGAAAGGAGCGTGAGACACAGGTGCCTGGGGAGCAGCCCCATCCAGGGGGAGTGGGGATGAAGCTGACACCATCTGGCCTTTTTGTCTACAGGAAGCCTACTCAGTGGCACGGCAATTCAACCTCATCCCACCAATCTGTGAGCAGGCTGAGTACCACATGTTCCAGCGAGAGAAGGTGGAGGTGCAGCTTCCTGAGCTCTTTCACAAGATAGGTGTGTTCTCTTGAGCCCGGCTCTGATGCAGTGGCTGACAGTGGCCAGCCAGGTGTTTCCCTGGACCAAAGGGGAGCAGAGCGTTCCCAGTCCAACTGTGCCTGGGGCTGGGCAATCTTTCAGTCTTTTGCTCAGCTCCACTCTCTGGGATGTCCAGGCCCTGGCACTGGTCTCTAGGCTTGCACTTTGGCTTCAGATGTCTTGGCAGTTGGCTTGGGAGGAGACCGCTCCCCTGTTGAACCAGAGCCAGCCATGACTTTTGTGCCCTGTTGGCAGAAGGCTTGGAGATGAGGTCTGCAAAGCTGTTGTCAGTATTCCTGATACATCTCAGACTCTTCCCATTGGAACTCAGTCCTAACCTTGTACACTTCTAACGTCTTTTTAATATACTGCTCAGATTTGGAGAATGCCAAGTGCTGTGTCTGCAGGGTGTTTTCCTCCCAGTTTCTGTTGCAAAAAAACACGCTTATCCCCGTTTCTGCCACAGCAAGCACCCAACCTCAATGCTCATGGTGTGGGAGTTGGTATCTCTGGCCAATCACAAAGCTGGCCTTACCGAACTCTTGCTCAACTGACTCAGCGCCCTCCTGCTGGGGTCTCCAAGCTGCAGACCTGGGGCTTGGTCAGGGTGGAGCATTTCCTGGACATGAAGAAGCCAGGGTCCTTTTATACTGGTTTATCCTCAGAGTGCCACTGTAACCTCACGCTTCTAGTGCCAGAGCAGGTGCCTGGTGCTGCTGCCCTTTCTGAAAGTCTCTTTTGCATCTGGATTCATGTCCTAATTAGCATTTTTTGGATGATGCCACACTGCTGGGGGCAGTGCCCAAGCTCCTGATGTACCCATGCAACCCAAAGTGTCTGGTGCACACCCCTGCAAGCACCAAACCAGATGGAGTGTGCAGGAAGCAACTCTCCCTCTCTCAGAACCAGATGACGGTGGGCCAGTCATAGACTTTATGGCTTATATTTAGAGTCCCCCTGTTTGCTTCCCTTACAGGCTTTTGCTCTGTTTCTGTGTGTGGCCTGGGCCAGGCTGCACATCTCTTGCAAAGAGCACAGCTGCACAGCAGGGGGAAGTTTGGTCTGCCCAGCCCTTTGTGTGGGCGATGGGCTCCCTGTTGTCAGATGGCCATCTGTGCACTCTCAAACTGCCCTGCTAAACAAACCTATCTGCAGAGAACTTTGCTCCTGTTCTCCCCAGAACACATGGTGCAGGGCACCAGCAGTACCATCTGTATTGTGGTACTGCACAAGGGGCCACGTGGCAGTAAAGGAGGTAGTACAGTCAAATGCCATTTCCAAAAACAGTGATTCTTCTCATCTGGACTTGATTGTCACTGCTCATGTGCCACTGCTTGGGAACAGGGCCAGCCTACCTGGCATCATAGGAGACTGAGCCCAGCCATGGAATGCTGTCAAGCCTGGTCCTTTTTTTATTCTATGCATATCAAATAATGCCCTGGTGTCTCTAGTTCTGTTGTTCCTGTAACTAACCTCCTGCTGTCATTAGGCCTGGAGTCCTGCAAAGACTAGAGGGCTTCCAAAGTGGGGTTTCTTTTGAGGAGGTTAGAGAAGTACCCCATTTTGTCAGGCAGGTGCTCTTTTGTCTCCTGCACTCTGTCCCACTTCGACCTTCCCTGCAGCACCCATGTTCTGCCCTCATTGCCCCAAAGAGCAGGTAGCTGCTGTAGGGCTGGTCCATTTGGGATCGGACCCATTCGCCTCCAAGGGAAACATCTGGTTCTCTAGCAATGACTAGCAAGGAGCGCTAAGACCAGGCAGGGAAGCTGATATGTAAGAGCCAGGGGTGTGACCAGTGGCATGCCCTGCATCTGCACTGATGGTGGGAGCTGGACATGCTATCAAGAAACGTTTTCCTCTCTCCTCCCAGGAGTCGGTGCCATGACTTGGTCCCCACTGGCCTGCGGAATCGTGTCTGGGAAATATGATGGCGGCATCCCCCCCTACTCCAGGGCTTCCCTGAAGGTGAGGAAGGGGCTGTATCTGACTTGCCTGGGCTCCCCAAGGCAGAGAGAGGCTGGCAGGGAGCACTATCCCCTTACTAACACATGCATTTAATTTTGACCATGGGGCCAGTGTGTTCCTGCTTGATGCTGGTTTTGCAACAGAATCCTACAAAGAGGTGGTTGAATGGTGCCCACATATGCCATTAGCACTGCCCATGTATGCCACTCTAGGGTGATGCTCCATGCTCCTCTGTGCAGGCTGCCCCACTTGGGGACCTCAGTGCTGGAATTTGACCTTGCTTTATGTTGCTTGAGCTTGGATCACTTCTTCCTTGGAGGAAGCTTTATGTGCCTGGTTTCTAGTGCTAGTGTTTCGGGGTGTCTCCCAGCCCAAGGGCCATGAAGAGTAGAATGCAGACCCCCTCCCACTCAGACCATTGTGCTTGAGCCGTTCTGGCCTGCAGTGCCCTCCATGCACAGCCCCAATACACTTCCTGGTAAGTCCATTCTCATCTTCAGAGGGGGCTGAATTTGGCCCACCAGGACCTGGGTCATGCTGACTGTCCCTTCCTGTCTCCAACCACCTGCTCACACTCTTTACAAGCCCCCTGTATTGCTGCCATTCCTTATAAAAGACCATTCCCTTTTTTTCTGTGTGCCTCCTTGGACAGGGATATCAGTGGCTGAAAGACAAGATCCTGAGTGAAGAGGGCAGGAGGCAGCAAGCCAAGCTGAAGGAGCTGCAGGCCATTGCAGAACGGCTGGGCTGCACCCTGCCCCAGCTCGCCATCGGTAAGCTAACTGCAGGGTGCAGGGAGTGAGTATAGCCAGAGGTTTCTTTGGGCACTTCCTGGCCACCCTCCTTTTCCTCAGATTCCACTGGGCCAGGCAAACTTCAGAGCAAGGAAATGCCAGTACCCAAAGCTGCAGCAGCCCACCCACTGTGCCCTCCCTGCTAGGGCACTTCTCCCTTCTCTCCCTACCGCCCCTGCATGTCCCCTAGTCACGCCAGTCCACTAATGATTGCTACTGCACAGAGCACCTGGCAATGTGGTGTTGGAGCTGCAGGACTCTTGGGCCAGCTCTTAGCCTTATGATCAGAAAACAAAGGGCTGTTTCTGCCTCCCATGCTTGAATTTAGAAACTGCACTGTGTTTTTTAGTGAATATTCCCTGCTTATTCCCATCCCCTTTCTTGTCACTCCAGCCTGGTGTCTGAGAAATGAAGGAGTCAGCTCAGTGTTGCTAGGCGCTTCCAATGCAGACCAGTTAATGGAGAATATTGGAGCAATACAGGTCAGTCCCAATATACAGTACAACTTTTCTGAGGTAACATTTCCTTGCTAACCAGTTAAGGAAGGACCTTATGCTTGCTTGGAGTATTAGGGAAACTATATACAGCTCTCGAGTTACATTATCTGTTAAAGCAGTTGCAGTATACTGTTTGACCAGAAGCATTTTACAACTGCCACTGGTGCTGCAGGTGGTCATGATGACCATTACAAGGGATAAATCAGAAAAGAGAAGGTTTACAAGCCATGACACCAAACAGAAGTCTTCATGCTTTTGTGGGGCTGATCCGAGGGTTTTGACAGTGAGCTTCTGTTTGGGTCCTTAGTCTGCTATGGAAAATGTTATTTCTGCTTTAACTGGTTCAAAATGATGAGAAACCAGCTGTTTGACCCATTCGCCCTTCTAGCAGATAAATAGTATGCGATGAGAGGATGTGAATTCCAGGGTTTACTTGTCCTTTGGTGTTTTGCTGTTTTCATAGAGTTTCTGCTCTTTTTTCTCTGTCTGCCTTTGGTTTCCAGGTGAAGTCTATGTTTTCCAAGGCACAACACCAGTTTTGTAGAATCTGTGATGTATAAGAACATCAGAAGGGCCATACCAAGTCAGACCAATGATCTAGGCTGCATCCTGTTCCAACAGTGATAGAAGTGGATGCTAAAGGGAAAGCATTGAACTGGATAGGTCTAGAGCAGGGATGGGCAATTATTTGGCTGCAGGGCCACTTATGGCGTTTTGGTGAGCTGTGGCAGGCTGGGTCAGCATCCCTCCTACTCCCCCCTGTACCCAGTCACCAAAATTCACCAAAATTCCCTAAGTGGCTCTGTCCCAGACAAAGCACCCGCACAACCAGCCCCACACTGTGACCACTTGGCAATCCCAGCCCTGGCCCCAGCCCCGGCCCCAGGGTCTCCATGAAGACCGGCCTGGGATTCCTATGGGCAGGGCATGCACAGCTGGGTGGATGGGATGGAGTCACAGGGAGGTGGGGAGCAGGATGATCTGGGTGCAGGGCCAGGGCACAGGACAGAGCTGCAATCCGCTCTTCACATGCCCCTGCTCATGGAACTGGTGCTCATTGCAGGGACACGTGGGTAGCAAATCATTGTTCTGCCCCAGGCCCTGGCCCTGCATTGTCACCACCCTGTGATCCCAGCCCTGGCACCACCTGCCCACCCATCCTGCTCCCAGATGCTGTTCCCTGCCAACCTGTAACCCCATCCCATCTGCCTAGCCAAACGCATCCTGCCCACAGGGGGGTCCTAGGCCAGTCTCCATGGAAACCCCACCCGCCCACTGCATCTGGTGCCTGCAGCAGTGGGTGTGGGTTGCCCAAGCCAGGGTGCCCAGGCAGCAGGGCCGGGTCCAGTGGTGGCAGTGACATTAGCGGCGGCAGCTGGAAGGAACCACCGCTGCGGGGGCTGCCGTAAAGTTGAGTCCAGCCACCACACTGCTCCAGCCCAGTGGTTCCTGCCTGGTGGTGGCAGGACCAGCCGTACGTGCCATAGTCCAGGCTGCTCCCCTTGGCAGGTCAGATCTGCCCCATGGGCCATATTTTGCCCACACCTGGTTTAAAGTGATCTGTCTCCTATTCATTACCCTGCCTGGTGTCCACCGTTATTGGTTTAGAGATGCCAGAAGAAACATCTTCAACTGTTCCATTCAACACATATTAATAGATGTATCATAGATGAATTTGTCTAGTCCCTTTTTGAACCTGGCTATGCTATCTGCCTCTACCACCTCCTGTGGCAATGAATTCCACAAGTTAACTACACATTGCATAAAAAGTACTTTCTCTTGTTACTTTTAAATCTGTCTCCTACTAATTTAAGTAGGTGTCCCTTAGGTCTAGTATTCTGGGACTCAGTGAACAACAGTTCCCTGTTCACTTGGTCCATGCCCTTTGTGATATTATAGACTTCTATCACATCCTTCCCCTCAGCAAAGCACAGAGTTTTTCAGTTTGGAAAGGAAAAGGCTTTGTGGTCCTGAGGTGCTGCATCCTACAAACTGTGACACGTCAGTCTAGTGATCCTGAGCTTCCCTGCAGTTAGCTTTCTTGCTGCCCTCCCTCCCCCAACCTCTCTCCATCCCTATACTGTACAAGAGATCTTTTCAAAATGCCCCTGTGGTGGAGCACCTTTGGAGGTGCTCACCACTCAAGGGCTTTCACAGGCTCTGAAGGGAACCTGTTTTGGTGGAGCAGTAGGGGAACCTCCCCCAGGAACTATTCTAAGGGAGGAGGGTGTGTGGCAGAGCACTTCTGGTGTCTGCCACTTTAAGAGCCTGAAGAGGCAACCAGCAGGTGAGGCCCAGCTCTCATGAGTGGCCATTTTAAGATTCAGGCCAGCAGAGCTGGAGGCAGCACTCTGCTGCCTGGCACCAAGGAAGCAACATCTCCCGGTGAAGCTGCTGCTCCAATAACACCAGGAAGTCGGGGCAAGAGCTGATGGGGTTGGTTAGGAGTCTCTTGGTCCTCGGCAAGACCTAAAACTGCACCCTGCTGGGGATGGGTGGCCTGGTGGGGCTGTTTGTGGCAGAACAGCCCCCCAGAAATGCCAGGCCAGTTACCACCCCAGTAGAAGGCGAGTAGGGGCGCCTAAACCCCAGCCCACACCTTCAGGTGGGACAGTTAACATCATAGGTGGTTTGGGACCAGGTACAGCTGTGGCCACCTGAGCCGGGGAGGGGGGAGAGACCCCAGGCCCCAGCAGAGGGGGGCAGAATATGGGCCTCAGTGGAGGCGGAGGTGTAGAGCGGGGTGCAGTGGGGCACCTGACAGCCTGCACCAGAGTGGCAATTGGGAGGCCTGGAGAGCCTAGCAAGGGGCATGGAGCCTAGCGAAGAGGCAAGGTGCTCAGAAGCTAGGAGCCCTGACTGTGTGTGTGGTGGGGGGAAGGAGCCCAGTGAGAATGAGGGGCTCAGAGCTTAAGGAGAGAGGCCAGAGTTAAGGGCTGGGATATAGTGGCAACATGTGAATGCTGAGAAAAGCGTGTAGCAAGGCCCTGGGAGGAAAGAGCACGAAGTGGGTCCCGGTGAGCAGGGGGCTCAAGGGTAGCGCGAAGTGGGTGATCAGGGGGCTCGAGGGTAGGCCCTGCTAACATGGGGGCCAGGTTAGGTCCACATAAGTCTTCAGGTGCCTGAGGCCACAGGTGGGCCAGAGGCTGATTGGGTGGAGCAGCTGAGGAAGTGCCCTGGATAAACAATGAGGCAAGTCAAGAGCCCCCTAATTCAGAGCAGCTGGGTGAGTGATTCAGTGAGGAACTAGAGGCAGAGTCACTCCAGTGTTCTGCAAACCGCCCAGCACTCACTCGAATGAGGGTCGCAGCAGAGGCCCAAGAGGCCACGCGCTTGCTGGCCAGAGAGTGCAGGGAAACAAGCCCCAGGACTCTTCGGGTGAGGGCAGGGTGAGTGTGGCCCCAGGAAAACGAGGGGCGGTACGAGAGTGGCCCCGCAAAGGGGCAGTATGAGAGAGACCATGTGAGAGGTGGTGGAGTGGGAGAGGCCTCAGTGAGAGGGAGGCGGTATGAGTGTGGCAGGTAGCGAGAGGCCTAACACTGGCATGAGTTGAGCCCAGCCTCAGGCCAGAGCAGAGCTCAGCTGTTAGGAACATCTGCGAGGTTTGGGAATGCAGTATAGGGGTGGTTGGAGCTTCATGCATAGGCCCAGGAGACCAGGACACTCGAAGGGCAGTCTCCCACCTAATTAACATCTGAATTATGTGTCATCAAGGCATGGCAGGCGAGAAGGGCAGGCGGCATGCCCAGAGGCAGGTGAGGAGACTAGCACTGTGGCTAGTCAGGGAGTTCCCACTTTGCCACAGCCTCCATCTTGGTAAGATCAGCCAGAGCATCTTGAGCATGCTCCATAGGGAGATGGTGGCTGCTGGCAGTCAAGGAGAAACCACTGAGGTTAAGGAGAGGGGGGGAAAAAATGGGACCCTAGCAATCAGGCTGGAGGGTGTATGGAGTTGGACCCTGAGGGAGTGGTCTGAGGCAATACTCAGTTAACAGAAGCAGAATCTAGGATACTGCACCAGACCATCTGATTGAAAACACTGACTGACCAGGCCTGGGTGAGCTCTGTCTCCTGCTGGTAGAGAGCCATAGAGGCATGCATCCTGCTCTGAGCACTGGCTGGGAGGAAGAAGTGATACAACCACACTGGATCCATCCAGAGGCTCCAGAGAAGGTGGAGTCAATCTGCTGCTCACCAGACTTAGGATACAAGGAGTATCAGGAACAGTAAAGCTGGTTATCAGTTCGTGATCTACCAAGGAGAAATATAATGTATATATGTAGATGTTGCAACTTTTAACATCTTTCTGTTGTCAGGCTTGCATTTGTTATTTGTTCAGTTGTTATTACGTTTGTTACAGTAAAAGGATACATTTGGAATTTAAGGCACGTTTGGTGCCAGGTATCCTACAGTAGGTGCTGCTGGTTTTTATATGCATGTGTAGTGAACCCAGAAGGGTTTTGCATTTGGCACTGCATAGCTCTTACAAACGCTATATACAGCTGGGTGCATTTTGCTAATGACTCTCTTGCACTTTTCCCGAGTTCATGCTCTCCTTACTCTCCCCCTACTCCTCTCAGGACCACAAAGCGAAACTCAGAGTTTATATGCCAGACTTGGGGATTTTCTTAGGGCACTCTTACTTCAAAGCATGCGGGTTGTCAGGTACAGTTAAGAGCAAGGTCACCTTCGCTTTTAACTTTGTTTGTTTGTTTATGTCCAGGTTCTTCCAAAATTGTCCTCTTCCATTATACACGAGATTGATAGTATTTTGGGCAATAAACCATACAGCAAAAAGGACTACCGATCCTAATTGTTCGTACTGTCTGCCTGGACTCACTGTTAACTTCGAGTCTCCTGTTCGCTTGCTTAAGCTTTATTGAAGCAAAGTGAAGAGTATGGTTTGCATCAAAGAGTCCATCATGTCAAGATGTTCTAGAGAAATCGTTTAAAATATCGCTGCAAGACAACATATGCTTCTTACATAACATTTATTTTGAATGCAAGAAAAGTCACAGATTGGGAAGAGTGTGAAAGCCATCATTTCCCCCCCACCCCCCCCTGCCCCCCAGATGATTAGCCTCTGCGCTTCCTTTTTCAAAGAAGAGACCACCTCAAACATGCGCAGCACCACTGTTCTCCATGAATTCAGGCTCCCATGCAGTTTGCTTGAATATTCCAACTTAGCCTATGTACTGCTTAACTGGAAGAATTATTATGAAAAGAAAAAGGTGATGCTGGCTTCACAGGGATCTGGCTAATGTGAGCTTGGAGGACTAGTCTGTGATAACACCTAGGCAGGTTAGAAACCATTGTTTTGGACTAGTGCATGCATCTCCTGACTGTTCCTGTAATTTCATGTACTTTGTTTTGTTTTTTTTATTTTCTCTTATTCAATGTGAACCATCCAGGCCACTGACAGCAGCTGTGAATGCCTTTAATCTGCAAGCCAGTCGCCTCCCCACCCCTTTGGGTTGCGCAGTTTGGCAGGGTACATTGTATTTATTTCCAGTGCCTAATGTTGCCCTTTTGCAATGCTGTTGATGTTCACAGTGGATCTGGCACAAGCCTGGAGCCCACTCAGTTCCATTCAGTGGGCTTTTTTGCTTTGCCATGTCCTATAGTCTATATTCAGCCCAAGCTTCTGTTGGTGTCAGTTGGCTTCACTGGGAGCATCCCTGAGGATGGACCGGATGATGCGGCTGTTCTGGAATGGCAGTGGTGCACTGACTCTGAAGGCACTGACCTGAGAGTCGCTCTGACTGGCAGAAAAAAAGCACAAAATGGGAGGTGGTAACTTAGCATAATGAAACCTGAAAGAGATCCATGTTATGTATTTCATGCATTTTTATGTTTTTTACATTTCAGATTAGTTCTTAGTGCTCGCTGTAGTTCAGAATCCAGTCCTTTTGGTAATCTTTGTCCAAGATGCATTCAGCTTTAGTTTTAGCTGCCTGATTTTCATAGCTGCCTAGAATTTGTTATGATAAAGTTGAAAGAGCTTGTCTTGCCTCAGTCAAGCATTGGAGCAGACAGGAGTTTATCTTGTGTGTGTTTAGAGGACAGTTGTCAAGCATCATTGCCAGCTGTACACAAAAAGTGGAACTGAGCAATTGAAATCCAGCAGCAAGAGGTGTATTGCTGAGAATCATTTGTCTTTGTACACACACATTCTTGTTGCGAATGCCCAACATGTTGGCAGCCACAGCACGAGACCAACTTCCCCTAACATTCAGCCTGAGTCTGTGTGTACATCCTTCACTCATCCCCTCCTTGCACCGGTAACAATGAGGGAAGTGTTGATTTTAGCAGCTTATTCCTTCTTCCCAGATGAAGTACTTGGGTAGACTGCTGACTTCCCCATTCTCTTCTAAAGATTAGCCTCATCACAGAAAGAGCATGAGCACAGCAAGAAATTGGGCAAGTCATTAGAATGCTCTGATCACTGGTAACTACTGCTGGAATTTGGGATGATGACAGTCAACAAGCACGTGGCATGTTTATGCAGTTCCTGTCCCACACTCTTGTGTTGTGCCGCTGGGACTGCTGCCACATTCCACTCCAGAGGGGACTGCATTTCATTGCTGTTTAGAGCAATCCCTTTGGGATGCTTCTGCTCCTTAGGTGCTGTCAAATAAAGTGGTTCACAGCAGGGGACTTGATGTCACAGCCACAGATGTTTACAGTACGCTGCACAAAGCTGTGGATTTGTGGTTTCTGCTACAAGATTTCATTTCCTTGTAACCACTGTACCCTAGGAAAAAAGTGAATACTTCTTGGGAGCATAGAAATGTATCTGATATGCAGCCTGCCCTCTGTCCAAGGGCACAAAATTATTCAAGCACTTAAGGCTAAGAGAAGCATATCTAATGTGAATCTTTCATAAAAAGGCAGATCAATACCAATGAATAAGGATAAAGCAGCTGTGCTGGGAAATGCATTTTTTTCCTGGCAGCAGTCACTTTTTGAACTGTTCTGAATATGATCTTCTGTATTTTTACAAATGCTCATGACCCCAGCTTCACAGGCGTTGGGGTCCCTTCTGGTGCTCCAGGTACAGCTCAATCCTTAGTACACCCCACAACCCTAGACAGCTTCCCTGCAGTGGCTGCAGTGTTTGTCCTCATCTGCTGCCCTCCAGCTCCATTCACTCAACTTCAATCACTAATACGTCCACTCAGGTTAGGAGCCAGGGGGCTGATCCATGCTGAGTAGCACTGAGAGTGGATAAGCATCTTCCAGACCAGCTACAGCTAGCTGTTCCTTACATTATACAATGAAAATTCAGTCTACAATGAAAATGAGCAAATAAATTGTTCTCTCTTAGGAACAACAACCTACTCCTGGCATGGGGAATGTGGATATCTCCTCATGCATGGCAGTGGCTCTGGGCTTGTCCCAGAAGCTGTCAGAGAAGGCTAGGACCTTCCATGTCCCTGTGAGTTTGGGTTTTGAGTTATGTCCAAGAGGTAAATCCTGGCCTCTTCCATGAACATGAGGCCCAGTTGCTTTTCTTTGCTGCTTCACCGGAGTGGCCGCACGTCAATTTTCAGACCAGCAGAGTAGGTAACAAGAAAAGGCAGATGGTTTCCATGAGAGTAAGTATTGTTATTTGCCATCTTCTTTTCCAGTCTGCTCGCCCTTTCAGAGTAGACTAGCCCTGTGCCTTGGGTGACCATCTCACAAACCCATAAGGAGAATATCCATAGCTAATGTCATGGTCCCAGAGGAGCTGTGCTGAACCAGTGGGTGAAAATGTGCCTAGGTGCAGACTTGTTGAGCCAGAGCAACCCCTTGGGGACCCACATGGCCTCTGCCTTGTGTGTCGCAGGCATTTTTTCTTAATGGTGTAAGTGCGTGACAGTAAAGCTGTCTCTGTGCCCATCAGCCATCCTTAGGCTAAACCCGTCTGTGCACTGTGCTCTTGTCAGACCTTTGACAGTGCTGGTTTTCAGTCTCTGAGCGTAAGAGACTGCCCAAAAGTGATGCTGTCCCAGGGGCTGTCTTAGCAGTGCTGCACCCATCCATTTAACAGGTTGGAGAACAACATAGGTGGGGAACCAGCACTAGGATCCAGCACGTTCTGTAGCCAGCCCTTGTCTCTACAAACCTCACTTCAGCATTGAGTGACCTTTCCCATCCAAACCCCTGTGCCCTGCACTGGGGCATCTACTTTTTGCTTCCTTGTGTTTGCTGTCGGACAAGTTCCACTTCGTCCAGGAAGCAAGAGCCTAGAGGGGGATGGCGCTCCCCCAGCTCTCCTTGCACTGGAGGTTCTGTGCTTTCATCTCCGTGCTGGGGGCCCTGCTGCCTGCCCTGACAATGTCACTGCCTCTGGCCTCTGAAGAACAGGGGTGGTTATCCCCCTGTCCTACATTAAATCCATGTATGTAAATAAAATGCTTACTTTTTTATCTGTATCTGTAGAGATTGAGAGAGAGACTGTGATTATCAAGCTAACTGCAAAACCTATAGACCAAGATTGCTGAATGCATTGTACTTCTGAATGAAGATTCAGATGTTCCCCAGCTCCTGTATTTAAGGAATGACAATTAAATTACGAGCCTTATTTGTCTGGATGGGCATTTTCTTGCCTGCTTTGCCTCTGAACATTTTGCTCCCGGAAGCCAACAACCCACCAAGGGCGAGTGACACCTTAGCGTCACAGTAGCGGGGTCTTCCTGCAGGAGCATCTGTGCACATGAACCCCCTCCCTGTCCACCACCCACTGTACCCTATTTGCCAGCATGTAAGTGCTTCCTGGACCCTCACCCTTTAAGCTGTTCAGGCACAAGGAAATAAACACAGCTGGGGCCCTCTCCTTGTCGTGGCACAGGCAAGCCCCCCCATCCCCGACCACTCCCACCTTGCCCTGTGGAGGGGCTGTCGGCCCACCATGGACTAAGGCCTGGGGTGATTCCACCTTCCCTCTTTCCCCCCAGCTATCCCCTCTTCAGCCTCCTACATTTGATATGGGGAATGGGAACTGGCTGAGACCCAATGCCACAGGCTACAGAATCCCTCTGGGTCTCCGGGACTTGCAAAAAGAGTGGCTCTCCATCTGAGCTATGCAGCAGCCACAGCTTCCTTTCCAGCTGCATTGCAAAGGGTAAAGCAATGTCCTAAAAGGGACCTCCCCAATCCTGGGCCAGGCAGTACTGTGGTATTGACAAAGCTGCAGTCAGGCGATTCCAACACCAATCTTGTCTTAAAGAAGACCACAGACTCAGTTCGGTAGCAAAGATTTGACCAGGTCAGTTGTCTACAAGCACAGCCCTAAAACGTTTTGGCCTAATTGCATCTGACCAGGAGTTAAGGCTTTTGTACCTGTGACAAGGTTGTTGGCACAACACCATGCAGGCCCCTCCAGGCCACTACAAAGTTCCCCTGATTTACAATTCTCCTTTTATACAATGGTCAAGACCAATTACATCTGGTTTTCATCTGTATCTTGAATATCTCAAGCCATCCTGTACCATGGGCTTGTTTCACACTCTGCTCAACCGCCTAGCACCCTGCCAGGAACTGAGGGACCACGCACGTCAACGCAGCTCCCTCCACCAGCACAGACTCCTGTGTGCATCTTCCAGGAGAGTCTCTAAGATGGGATAGACTCAAAGAAGTTACGGTTGGAAGGGACCTCAGGAGGTCATCGAGTGCAGTGGTCACTAACCTGTTGATCCTGATTGACAGGTAGATTCCAGAGCCTCTTTTGGTCGACCCTGGGCTGGGGGAGAACTTGGCATGTGTGCATGTGCGCACCCGCCCCCAGCCCCAGCAGGTCCATCTGGGGGAGGGAAGGGGCAGGGGCCAGATCAAGGCCCCCACAAGCCACTGACCTTGCAGCCCAGCCAGGAGCAGGGAAAGGTAAGTAGGACCCCAGCCCAGCCGGGTGGGAGGATTGGAGCCCAGGGGGCTTCTCCAGGGTTGGGGGGTTCCCCCGTCACTTTGGGGGCAGAGGCAGCAGAGGCTACTGCCACTACACCTTGAGCTCCACTGCAAGCTGGCTATGTGCGGACACAGCTCAGCACAGCAGTGGGGACTCGTGGGGGTGGGCCTGGCCCAGCCCAGCTCAGCCAGGTTTGGGAAGATCTGGTTGTCCAGAGGCATGGGGGGCTCCCACCGCTGGATGCAGCCTGGCAGAGGCACTAAGGGCCTGTGCCCCCCTCTGCCCCCCCCACACACACATGCTCGGGACACAGCAGCAGCCACCTCATCCCGAGCACAGGTGGGGGAGGCACAGGCCCCTGAGGCCTCTGCTGGGCTGTGTCCAGCAGCAGGAGCCTCCCTCCCCTGCACACCCCTGGATGACCAGATCTTCCCAGACCCAGCCAAGCTAGGGCTGATCCCACTTCTGTACCATGGCTGCTCTGAGCTGTGCCCACCCAGTGGCCAGACAAACATGATGTCAGGCCCTGGCCCAGTCAGGTCTGGAAGTCTCTGTGGTCCAGGGATGTGGGGGGGGGGGGGATTATGCCCCACCTGTGCTCCAGGAGGAGGTGGCTGCTGCTGTGTGTTGCCCGCTACGCCCAGAGCACAAGGTGGGGGGGCATAGGTCCCTGAGGCGTCCGTCAGGCTGCGCCCAGCAGTGGGAGCCCCCCACAACACACCCCTGGACTGCAGAGACTTATGGACTCAGCCAGGCCGCAGGGCCTGATGCCACATTTGTCTGGCTGCTGGGGGGACGCAGCTCAGCGCAGCCACAGCACAGAACTGGGAACAGGCCCCAGCCCGGCTGGATCTGGGACTCTCTATGGTCTAGGGGCATGCAGGGGAGGGGCTCTTGCCACTGGATGAAGCATGGCGGAGGCCCCAGCAGCCTGTGCGCCCCCCCCCAATCACCACCACCACCTGTGTTTGAGTCAAGGCAGCCGCTGCTGCAGGCTGCCCACTGCACCTGGAGCACAGGTGGGGGAGGGGAATGGCTCCCCGGGGCCTATGCAGCTGCACCCAATAGTGGGAGTCCCTGCCCCATGCACCCCAGACCATGGAGTTTCCCAGACCTGGCTGGGCCGGGCCAGGACCTGATCCCATTTCTGTGCTGCAGCTGCACTGAGCTGTGCCCACCTGGCGACCAGACAAATGTGGCATTGGGCCCTGTGGCCTGGCCAAGTCTGGAAGTCTCTGCAGTCCAGGGGTGTGTTGGGGGGGCTCCCACTGCTGGGCACAGCCCGGCAGAGGCTGTTCGTCTGCCCGCCAGACGGTCGTGGCTCAGCGTAGCCACGGCACAGAAGTGGGATTGTGCCCTGGCCTGGCCAGGTCTGGGACACTCCATGGTCCAGGAGTTCATGGAGCAGGGGGCTGGGGGTGGCGCGGTAGATCCTGGGGTGCTCTTTACTTGCAAAAAGTGATCTTCACCATAAAAGGGCTGAAGACCACTGATCTAGTCTGAACCCCTGCTCAAAGCAGGATTATCCATCCTCAACCAGATCATCCCAGCTTTGTCTAGTCAGGTTTTGAAAACCTCCAAGGATGGAGCTTCTGCCACCTCTCTGGGTAACCTGTTCCAGAGTTTCACTACCTTCCTAGTAAGAAAATTCTTCCTAATATCTAACCTAAACTTCCCTTGCTGCAACTTGAGACCATTGCTCCTTGTTCTGCTGTTTGCCACCAGTGAGAACAGTCTAGCTCCATCCTCTTTCGAATCCCACTTCAGGTACTTGAAGACTGCTATTAAATCCACCCTCAGTTTTCTCCTCTCTAGACTAAAGTAAGCTCAGTTTCCTTAGTCTTTCCTCATAAATCATGTGCCCCAGCCCCCTTACCATTTTTACTGAACTCCACTGGACTCTCCCCAATTTGTCTACATCCCTTCTCTGGGGGACGCAAAACTGGACACAGGACTCCAGATGTGGCCTCACCAAGTGCTGAATAGAGAGGAACAATCACTTCTCTTGACCTACTGGCAACACTCCTACCAATGCAGCCCAGTATGCCATTAGCCTTCTTTGCAACAAGAGCACACTGCTGGTTTATATTCAGCTGATCGTCCACTGTATCCCCCAGGTCCTTTTCTGCGGAGCTGCTGCCCAGCCAGTCAGCCCCCAGCCTGTACTGGTGTATAGGAGTCTTCCTTCCTAAGTGCAGGACTTTGTACTCATCCTTGTTGAATCTCATGAGATTCCTTTTGACCCAATCCTCCAATTTGTTTAGGTCACTCTGAATCCCAGCCCTACCCTCCAGCATATCTACTACTCCCCCCATCTGCAAACTTACTGAGGGTGCACTCTGTGCCATATTCCAGGTCATCAATGAAGACATTGCACAAACCCAGCCCCAAGACTGACCCCTGGGGTACTTCACTTGATACCAGCTGCCAACTAGACATTGAGTCATTGATTACTATTCTCTGAGCCCAATGCACCAGCCAATTTTCTATTCATCTTACAGTCCATTCTTCTGGCCCATACTTCCTTAGCTTGCATGCAAGAATGCTGTGGGAAACCGTATCAAAAGCCTTGCTAAAATCAAGTCTACCAGTCTCCCCACGTTCACCGAGCCAGTCACCTCATCATAGAAGGCAGTCAGGTTGGTCAGGCATGACTTGCCCTTGGTGAATCCATGCTGACTGTTCCCAAACACCTTTCTCTCCTTCAAATGCTTAGAAATGGATTCCTTGAGGATCTGCTCCATGATTTTTCCAGGGACTGAGGTGAGGATGACTGGTCTGTAGTTCTCTGGATCCTCCTTTTTACCTTTCTTAAATATGGGCACTATGTTTCCCCTTTTCCAATCATCCTGGACCTTGCCATGAGTTTTCAAAGATGATGGTCAATGGCTGCACACGGCCATCCCGAGGGGGGCGCAAATTGGGACGACTGCTTTGGGGGGGCCCCGTAGACCCAGGCAGAGTGGCCGCGGCCCCTCCTGTAGGGCCCACCTAGTGTTGGTGACTCTGCGCCACTGCTGCCAGCTACGTGTTCGGCCGCTCGCCACCCTCCTACCACCACCGTCGCCACAGGCTTCTTCACATCCAGGCCCTGCATCCTGCTAGGATCATTTCTGCCTCCACAATCATGTCAGCCAACTCCCTCAGCACCCTTGGGTGTATCCCATACGGTCCCATGGACTTGTAAGTGTGCAGCTTTTCTAAGTAGTCCCTAATCTGTTCTTTCACCACTGAGGTCTGCTCACCTCTTTCCCAAACTGTGCTGCCCAGTGCAGTAATCTGGGAGTTGCCCTTGCCTGTGAATACTGAGGCAAAAAAGGCATTGTGTGCTTCAGCCTTTTCTGCATCCTGTGTCACTAGGTTGCCTCTCCCATTCAGTAAGGGACCCACACATTCCCTGATCCTCCACTTGCTACCAACATACTTGTAGAAACCCTTCCTGGTCCCCTTCACATCCTTTGCTAGCTGCAACTCCAATGAAACTTTGGCCTTCCTGATTTCATCCCTGCATGCCCAAGCAGTGTTCTTATATTCTTCCTGAGTTGTTTGTCCAAGTTTCCACTTCTTATAAGCTTCCTTTTTGTGATTTAGCTTACTGAAGAGCTCCCTGCTAAGCCAAGCTGGTCTTCTGCCGTACTTGCTAGTCTTCCTGTGCATTGGGATGGTTTGTTCCTGCACTCTCGGTAAGACTTCTTTCAAGTACAGCCAGGTCTCCTGCACTCCTCTCCCACTCAGACTGGCCTTCCAGGGGATCCTGCCCATGAGTTCCCTGAGTCTGCTTTTCTTCAGTCCAGGGTCCTTACTCAGCTGCTCTCCATCCTTCCTTTCCTTGCCTGATCCTA